GATAGATAGATAGATAGAAATAGACATAAACTACTAAGTGTAATGGATGCTAGAATAAATATTTTTGTGTAGGTATTTTAATGTACATTTTAGGAAAACTAACTTAATAGAGAGAATATAACTTTATTTTTTCTCATTTTTTTATATTTTATTAATTAATATTTATTACTTTTCCTAGAGTGAGATGATGCCTTGGACGGCAGCCTCATTGTGTTGTTACTCTGTGTTTTGTCTTGTTCTGTTTGTTAATTTTTGCACATTGCAAACATCATTACTCGCACACAGATTTTCCATTTTCCCAATTTTTTTTGCACATTCCTGTACAACTCTTCATTCATTCATTTAAGTATCTGGCCATATTATACATATTCTCTCTCTATTTGTATATATTGTCTCCTTTTATTTCTCTCTATTTTTATCTTTATTTATATTTTTCTATGCTCAACCTCAACCTCAAATTCCTTGTATGCGAAAACCTACATGGCAATGAACCAGAGTCTGATTCTAGGAGAAACAGTGAGTGCAAAGCATTGACAGTATACAGTACATAAGGTGCAAAGGTAGAGTCATACATACTTTATACCAGTTGGTGGCGGTAATGCACCATGACGTTGTTTGCCAACTGCCACATAGCAACAAGAAGGGGAAGAAGAAGCTGTAACGTAGCCAGTGAACCTGGGGAGGACGGCGGCTAGCGTTACTTTAGCCAAAGCATTTGGATAAGGTAACTAGATGGGAACAGCGCAGTCTGAGTTTAAAAAGTCTGTGAAACTGCATTTACTGTAAGTAATATCTGTGCATGTGGTTTCCAACACACAGAGAAGAAGTAACAGTGAAGTAAAACAGGTCGTTGCCTGTCTTTCTGTCATGGTAGTGGTGGAACACATGCTGAACGTCAGGAGCTAAAAGCTAACCTGCGAGCTGTAGCCGCCGACGTAGAGCCGAAGTTAACTTACGTAACAACGAAAACATTAGTGAATATTAACCTTATATTTAGTTTCTGCCAATAGATCCTCCTAAATGTTACACACTGGACCTATTTTTTTTTTTTTTTTTTAATGTGAGCAAAACACAGCGAACACTAACTTGACAACAGCTGTCAAATGAATTCAGACTCATAATGACATAATGGTGTTGTACTGTAGATTTATAGACTAATATGCAGTTATTGAGAGGGTGCCCTCTTGACAACCCCGTAGACTTCCCTGCACTCTTACACTCTTTACATAATCTCTTATTGATCTATTAATAAGTCTAGTACAAGTAGGTAAACACTGCTGGACACTTGAGTGGGTTATGGCATTTAAATGAAGCTGTCTATTCAAGCCAGAGTTGCCAGCACTGCAGTTTAGCCTAAGGCCTAAGCCAATCAGGTTCCCAAACTTTTTCCTTAAGGGACCCCTTTTCTATCACTGAGTAAACTGACGACCCATGAGTATGTGTATTTCATATTATATCTAATGTATAATAATAATAAGAGTACAGAACAACTGATAAAGTGTATAGTGAACACTAACTGCAGGACGTTTGTAATGTGGATGGACTTTGAGCTGATTATTTCCTGTGAATTTTGCGTCAGATGTTAAACAATTCTCTGTCTGTATAATCATTTTTTAATATATTTTAACAATCATACACACTTAATAGACTTCTTTTCTGACACATTCAGTGTTTTCTTCTTCCTGAGGCTTGCCTTATTGTTTTGTTAGTGCTTTGTTTTTGTTTTTGTTTTCTCATACGCCTTAAAATCAAGAGGGCCTTGCGATGCCCCCGTTCCAGGTTGGGAACCACTGGCCAGTCAAGTACAATGTAGACATAAAGCCAGTTCATTCTGCCAAGTATCTGTATTACTTTGGATTTGGATTGAAAGGCAGATTAAAGGTGTATTTGGCCAAGGTAGCAGAACACACTCAGTGTTTACTCAAGTAGAAGTACTGATTCAACTTCTTTACTCAAGTAAAAGAGAAAGTACATGCTCTGACATGTACTCAAAGTACTCTCTTGGTTTCTGACCCAACTGAAACTTCAAATAAGGTTGAGCCTCGCTCTCTAGTTTCGTCCTGTTACGTTGTTTTCTGCGTGTCCGTCATGTTACATCTGTCATATTCACTGATCGTGATGTTGGGAAGGCATTCAGTGATGTAAAATAAAACTCTTAATTCCCCTCAAATGCATTAAAGTAGCGAGCCTGTATTGGAAATGTAAGGAGAATAAAGTACAGATGTTTGTGTAAAAAATGTAAGGGGTAAAAGTAAAAAGAAATACTCAAGTAAAGTACAGATTCCTGAAAACTGCGTTGTTAGTTCCCACCTCTGGCATTTGGTCAAGGGTAGAGAGTCTACTGTCAGGGTGTCTAGTAGATTTATAACGTCACTGGCATTCTGTGGGCTCTAATTTTAGGTCAAGACATAATTTACCATGAATACTGGGCTTCTAAAGGAGGTCTTGCCCAACCTTTGGCACGTTTTACTGTGCATTGAAAGCTGTAGTTTTGTGTTTAACTGTTATTTTCTCAGTTGCAAGACTCCCACTGCCACAGGAGGGCGTATTTGTTTCGTTTTTAGCACGAGACTGTTGAGAAATATTGTTGGATGCTCCCAAACTGTCTTTTTATCTTGATTATCAATCTTGATTCGACGAGGCGCTCACATTTCACTCTACTATCTTCAAAAAGACAGATGAAGAAACCCTCTATTAGGAAACCCCACTCAGTTACACAATGCACTCTAGCAGAGGCGAGTTAGAAGTACATATGAATTATTCTGTTACATGTACGTATCTGAGGTGGAAGTTTGAAGTATTTTTTCTTGTGTGAATCTCAATTGTCCTCACAGGCCGGTGTTTCATTATGCGGCGGGTGGAGCACGTTCCAGGGGCTTTCCAGGCCCCGGTGGACGTCCATGCCAGTGCGGACGGCCAGGTTTACATGTTCAAGAGGAGGCAGAATGAGTCTACTGTATCCTCAGATGATGAGGAGCTCACTGTCATGGAGATGAGGCCGCGGGTTTACCAAGAGCCGGAGCAGAGCGCACTGAGGAACGTCCAGCTGCTGGAGCGGGAGGTGTTCGATGGAGACAGTCTCAACAAGCTTGCACTGCAATATGGCTGCAAGGTGAAGGTTTTTGATAGTCGCTGAAAGGTTTTATCTCTTCAGCGGCATATTAAGTGTTGGCATATTAAGTGTTGACATTTCCGTGCCTTCATTCTCGTTTCTGTCAACAGGTGGCAGATATAAAGCGAGTGAACAACCTTATGCAGGAACAAGATTTATTTGCGCTGAAATCCATCAAAATACCCGTTCAGAAGCACAGCTTCTTAACCGAGACTTACACAGACTTAAGTGACCCTCAAGAAGAAATGCCACATTCACCTTCCATGCCAGCGAAGCCTCAGGACAGAGCCAGAGCCCAGCCACATCTGCAGGAGGTCACAGACTTTCTAATGGAGGTGGACCACGATATCGAGAAACTGATTCAGACCACGAATGATCAGGATGAGGATTTCTTGGATAACTCGGAGAAAGGCCACAGGTTTGGTTTCAGAGGACAGCGCCTGACCAGTCACGGCGCAGACTGGGGCATCCAGTGGTGGAACGCTGTAGTTGCTATGCTCCTGATTGGCATCGTCCTGCCGTTATTTTATGTCATTTATTTCAAAACAAAAGATAACGGAGTTTCACCGACAGACGGTACCGGTGCCATACAGTCCTCCACCATTTCAAACACTTCAGGGACAGGCCTTGGTACATTATCAATAAACAGGATAGTGCATTCTTGAGTCCCATGAAACGGTAATCATTTTTTAAGACTGTTGGGTCATATGATCCTAGAAAAAGTAGGTGACAATCAAGATAAAGCTTAAATCTCTTAACGTTTTTACTGTGCAATACCACCACATGTCTGTGTTATCTTATAACTGTGATGCTTGAGGCAGATACTTCACTGATTATCCTGAAGTGAAGCTAAATAGCTGCACCCTGTTCTAAATTTTGTGACAATTTAGGACACCAACATATCTTCGAAGAGCTTACTTGGAATACAGTTCGCTGAAATATTATTTTTAATACTGTTGATCCTTTTGTTGACATTTTTTTGATGTTTGTTGAAATTACAGTTCCTCAGGTACTTCACTGAATTTGGGGTATTAAAGGGCCAGAGTGTAGGATTTGGTGGCATCTAGTGGTTAAGTTTCAGATGGCTGCTAACTGAACACCGCTGGTGTCTGTGTTGGGCAAGGCATCTGTAGCTAAAATGGCTTCTAAGGTAACACAAACATAACAATTCATATTCAGGTGATTATACACTAATGAAAACTACTGATAAAATTTATATTCCATTTCTGCCAATAGATCCTCCTAAAATTTAACACACTGGACTTTAAATGGTCTATCAACATCTGCTTTGTAGCTTTCTATTTTTACATTTTATTGAATCAGCACAAATCATAACAGAAGTTATCTCAGGACACCTTTCATACAGAGCAGGTCTAGACCTGTGGCAAGGAAAAACTTCTTTAAGAGGCAGAAACCTTGAGCCGACCCAGCTCCAGGTAGCTTTACCACAACCTGCCTTTCCGTCAGTGCCTGTTTTCAGTATCGACACATCAGGTGTTGTCATGTCAGTGTTAGGGCTGCACAATTAACTCCACTAATTGGGGATCATATCGCAATTGCAATATCTGTCAAAAGAGTTGCAATATGATTGTTTTAGCACATCGTGCAGCCCTAATCAGTGCTGTGCATCAGGCACAATCTTGATATTTGTCCCAATACACTAGTTTTTAAACTTTTGCCTTAAAATGCTAAAATGGGAGATGCATTGTCTCCTCCTGTCGCCAGAACCGTGTAAGGTTATCTGTATTCAACATGGGTTTGAGCATTATTTGTGTGCCTTGTTTGATGTAAGTTATTTTTTGTATCTGTGTTTTCATTGTTAAGTTATTGCCATGCACCTCATGTCTTCACTCTAGGTCTGAATACAGTGCCAAAGGTGTAAATTGTGTTTACGGTAAGAATAGGGTGCAATATACATGATCTTGTCAGGTTGTGTGTGTTCTTTTGACACCAGGCAAGCTTTAAAAATCATGTTGAGATAAAAAAGGATTCAGTCTGAAGTGTGAGATATAGGAATGTGCCTTAAACCTTAAATATCAGGTTTATGTAGTATTGCACACTCATCTTACATAATTAGATGGGTAGTTGAGTCCACTAGTGAAAGGTGGTAAATTTGTGTGGCTTGACCAATGCACTTTTTAAAGTCTGAAGTATTGTAATTTAATGAAACTGGAAACTTTATTTTGTTGACATATTTTTCAAACTATGAAGTCAAGTTGTTAACCATTTTAGATGGACAGTTTGACACAATGGATGTTAAAGAATGTTTTTCTTCAGCATGTTCCTATTTGAATACAAGATTTACAGTGTGAACGTGTCTGAATTGTTTTCTGGTAGCAAACAAGAAACAGCAAATATACAACATGCATATATTGTGGAGCTATTGTATGTATTTTTGTTTGTACCTTTAAATACAAAGTTCACAATTCTTTATTAGTTGTAGTACCCACTGTTACCAAAAGATGGCAGCATGCACAAACAGTGTTGCTTGGGTGTGTGTTTGTTTATGGAGGGAGTGAGTCGAAACTTGACAGCTCCTGAGTAAAACAGCATGATTTTATGGTTTGATACATACATTTTGGATTAGTATTTTATAAAGTTTTAATGATAATGAACAAGGCCAGCTTGCTTGAGCACTCTCATCATATAAGTCTAGTGAACCAAATGTATATCTCATAGAGAACTTGAGATTGCTTCCTGGTAAAGCAGGAGTTAATTATACAATCCAAGGATGCGAGGTAGTTCTGTTAGGAGTTAGTTTTCCAATTTGGACACAATCTGTATTTACAATGAAATGCCAAAAATACAAATACAGAATGTGAGAAGCAACTCACAGGGATATTAAAACATTTTCTACATGACTCAAACACCAAAGGTTATAGATTGACTCTAGTTTCTGAGTCTGATGGCACTGAGAGAAAAACTCAGGGGGGGGGGACAAGCTGCATTAGTACTTTAAAACTCACGAACAAAAGTTGTAGTTTAGCTCTACTGCTGCAGAGGCTCTATGCCTTTTATTATTCCATGACCTGAGACCCTCATCTCATAACTACAGCTCACGAACCCTGCTCTGATCTAGCTCCAGGCCGCAGAGCTCTGGCACCCTGCCAACTCCCAGGCTGTGTCTTATCCTACTGTTGATACATGGACCCCCCCCCCTTTTTTCCCCCTTTTACCTCCAACCTGGACACTTCTAATGCCTGCCTTTCTTCATTTGATGAAATCCATATCAAGTCTGCAAGGTAGACATAAACGTAACAATTATTAATTTTCCAGGTGATCATTCACTAAATGAAAAACAATACCTATATGATAATTATATTCCATTATCAGTCTGCCATAGATCCTCCTACATGTTAAACACTGGACCTTTTAGCTATATTTATGCACACTCTGTATGGGTGTGTATTTAGGGGTGGTGTCCCAGAAAGCCTGGTTTTGAATCCAACACATTTTTTAGGGGGCAGAGCGTGCTTTTATGGAGGTGGGGGCTGAATCGGAGTGGGTTTTCCCCTTGAACAAAGCACAACCATCCATACAGTCTTGGGTGGAGGGTAAATAGAGTGAAAAGATTCATGACCAACCCGAAGCTCTGCAGCTTTAAGAAGTTTGCACACTTGAGCAGCTGGCAGCGGGCCACTTGGCCAACATAAACAGCCCTAATCCTTTTTCCAAGGAGCTTTCAACACTCATCTCTCTGGCACATCAGCCACTGACTCACTCTCTTTCTCTCTCTCTCTCTCTGACATTCCTGTCTGTCTGCAGTTCTGCAGAGCCGTCACCAGGAGGCACTGTGGCCCTTACAATGTAAATGCAGTTGGGTTTATGCTGTTGATCATTATTCACTGCTAAGGTATGTGCCTTCCTTTGATTTTCCCCTGAAGCGAAACAGGTCTCAGTTTTCACTCTTTCTTAGTGCGAATGGAGGCTTAGTTTCACGATGTCATGTTGACCTCAAGCCCACAGAAGTATGGGTTGTTTGTCAAATTGGTGTTGACAAAAGTAAAGTGGGAACTTTCATATGGTTTTGATTCTTCACCTCCAGACACTTTCATTCAAATCAGGTTTTTGGTGAAAGGTTAACAGTAGTTTTTTTAAGCTTGTCTCCAGTTTTAATTCTTTTAAATGAAAACTTATAGATAAGAATTAAAACTTTAAAATGCAGCCCAACAAAAAGTCAAAGTTTGTCATACACACTTCTTATATAAAATAAAAACATATTTTTTCAGATTATAAACAGAAATACAATCATACATGATTTCTGTGAGAGAGAAGCTGAGGTCTGTTTCTGTGGGGGCAGGGAGATCCAGGGTTTTGATTTCCTCTGCTCCCGGGGGGATTTGGCAGACACAGGGTAATTTGTAGTGAAATTTCCAGCACAGTTTGTTTTGCAGGTGGCTGAGAACGAAGGCAGGGCGTGGTGGGGAATGAGAGAAGCAATTTGCTGTCTATGGGCTGTGAATGTGTGTATTGTTGCACAGCAGTAGGTTTAGTGGCAGTAGCCGGTATGTGCTATGGTCAGGGCTGGATTAGTGGAAGGGAGGCAGCAGTAGACATTCATGGACCAACCAAAAACACAACTGGTCTGTATATGTTAAGAAGGATTTCAATAAAATACCTTTAGGGATTTCTTTTGACGGCAATATTAGATTATTGAAGCTATCTGCAAAAAGAAGTTCGTTCAGAGCTTAAAAAGACAGTCAGTTTGACACAGGAGTCCTAAAAAGAGGGGGGGGGGGACTATTTCAATCTGTGGAAGAGGTCACATGACAAAGCAACATGAGTATGCATTCGAAGGTTCTTGCCAGAAGACATTTCAGTCTCACAGTCTTCAGAGTGGATTCAATTAAAAACTCTTCTCTTTGAATCCCCAGCCAGGATTTCAATGTATAAATCCATGCCAGATGTTACAGCGCCACTTGAAGAACACACAAGGTGTCAAGGAACCAGCCCAGATTGTTTAATGTGTTTTTATCAGCATATCTTTTATCTTATGAGAACATATATGTGTTCTACAAAAACTAATCCACAAGAGAAAACTGAAAATATGCTATCAAGGAATAATTAATATTGCCTGATATGATACAATATGGGATTTTTCTTTATTTAGGGTACATTGTAGTTGAATAAGAATGCATAATATATTGTATGCATGCTGTATGTTATCCATTAAGTCTGACTGTGTAAATAAGGGATCATCTGGAGACACAGCTGGCTGGAGAATGTGATGTTCTGTCAGTCATGTTCCTGCAGGGGCGGCTGTTTTTCTTTCGCCCCCTCTGTGGAGGAACCAATTGTGCAGCACCTGTTTTACATTCCACCCGAGGTTTGAGGAGTCCTCACTTCAGGGATGGTCCAAGTCAAAACTAGACAGATATAGTATATGAAAAGGGCAAAGTTGTATAGTCTTTCATTATTGTTGTCTCTTGAATCCTTGTGGCACCTCTTAGACATCAGTATGTATGAGCAGTACTAACCACGCAATAAACGTCTTCCAAGGGTAATATTTATACACTGTTGATTTATAGGTTGTATAAATGTATTTCTATATATGTTAGAATAATTCTTGGAGGAAGGAAATTGTGTTGTATAATGATGAATACATTTCCTCGATTTCGTGATTCCTTGATCTTACTTATACTGTACCTTGAGCAGTATGATCTTTAGCAGAGGCTGCTCTTTGAATCTTGATAGGAACATTAGGAGTCAAAATGTTACTGACTTATTATAGTTAATTTAATGTAGATAAAACATTAATAAGGCATTAAATGATACATAATAAAACATGTTAAAAGGTGTGTTTGACAAATGCAGTGCTCATGTAGAAATGTCGCACAGTATTGTACATCAATTGTATATCTTTATCACAGAGGGAACGGTGAATCAGGAACAAAAAAATGATCAAACTTGGTGAGGCAGAAGGGAAAATACTTCTTCTTGCATTCAAAACTTGTGACTGAAATCAAGAAACACATTACACACGATGCTGTAGATATCTGCAGATTTCCCATCCTCATTCCCCAACCCCATCCATGTGAACTTTGATACTGTCAAACATTACTGATAAATTACTGAAATAACGAATGTCTGATCTTTAGCCTGGATCTTTTTTAATTTACCTGAATTATTTTGAAAAATACATCTTATATACAAATCCAATTAAAATACTTTTTCTATATGATTCTGCTATTGTGCTTACATGCTTTGTTCTTTCCTGCTGTATTATATTTTGTCCTGCAAT